ATGAGGCATCAGTCAGACATCAGGTAGTCATCACTGACGATTTGGTCAATGACTGCAATGAACATTTTTAATAAACCATTTTAAATCAACGCAAATCAGTTAGGCATCACACAGGTATCAAAGTGGTATCAAAAGGCATCACTGACCATTAGTCATCAGTCAGGTATCATAAGGCATCAGGCAGTCATCACTGACCATGAGGCATCTAACGGCCTTCGACCAGGCATCAGTTATGCATCAATCAGGCATAAGAAGGCATCAGTGGCAATTGGCTTCATTGAGTTATCAAAGAGGCATCAGTCAGGCACCAGACAGTCATCACCATTAATGACGCATCACACAGGCATCAAAATGGCAACAGAAGGCATTACTGACCATTAGGCATCAGTCAGGCATCAGGTTGTCACAGCCAGGCACCAGGCACACATCACAGTCACTTAGACATCAAACAGGTATCAGAAGGCATCAGGCATTCACTCATCACTGACCATAAGGCATCAATCAGACTTCAACCAGGCATCAGTTAGGTATCAATCATTCATCAGTTAGGCATAACGAGGCACCACTGACCATAAGGCAACAGTTAGGCGTCACCGTCCTTGAGGCATCAAAAGGGCATAAAAGTGAAATGAAAAGGCATCACTAACAATGAGGCATCAGTCAGGCATCAGTCAGGCATCTTGCATTAATCACTGATGATTTGGTCAAAATTTAATGAAGGGTTCCAAATCCAATCAAATCAAATCAGTTAGGCATCATGCAGGCATCATGGCATCACTGAACATTAATGCATCAGTCAGACATCAAGTAGGCATCACTGAACATTAAATTATCAGTCAGACATCAGTCAGGAGGCATCAGTCAGACATCAAGTAGGCACCAGTTAGACATCAAGTAGGCATCAGTCAGACATCAAGCAGACATCAGTCAGACATCAAGTAGGCATCAGTCAGACATCAAGTAGGCATCAGTCAGACATCAAGAAGGCATCAGTCAGACATCAAGTAGGCATCAGTCAGACATCAAGAAGGCATCAGTCAGACATCAAGTAGGCATCTGTCACGACATCAAGAATGCATCAGTCAGACATCAAGTAAGCATCAGTCTGACATCAAGCAGGCATCAGTCAGACATCAAGAAGGCATCAGTCAGACATCAGTCAGGAGGCATCAGTCAGACATCAAGTAGGCATCAGTCAGACATCAAGTAGGCATCAGTCGGACATCAAGTAGGCATCAGTCAGACATCAAGTAGGCATCAGTCAGACATCAAGTAGGCATCAGTCAGACATCAAGTAGGCATCACTCAGACATCAGTCAGGCATCACTCAGACATCAAGAAGGCATCAGTCACGACATCAAGAATGCATCAGTCAGACATCAAGTAAGCATCAGTCTGACATCAAGCAGGCATCAGTCAGACATCAAGAAGGCATCAGTCAGACATCAGCCAGGAGGCATCAGTCAGACATCAAGTAGGCATCAGTCAGACATCAAGTAGGCATCAGTCAGACATCAGTCAGGCATCAGTCAGACATCAAGCAGACATCAGTCAGACATAAAGTAAGCATCAGTCAGACATCAAGTAGGCATCAGTCAGACATCAAGTAGGCATCAGTCAGACATCAAGTAGGCATCAGTCAGACATCAAGTAGGCATCACTCAGACATCAGTCAGGCATCACTCAGACATCAAGAAGGCATCAGTCACGACATCAAGAATGCATCAGTCAGACATCAAGTAAGCATCAGTCTGACATCAAGCAGGCATCAGTCAGACATCAAGAAGGCATCAGTCAGACATCAGCCAGGAGGCATCAGTCAGACATCAAGTAGGCATCAGTCAGACATCAAGTAGGCATCAGTCAGACATCAGTCAGGCATCAGTCAGACATCAAGCAGACATCAGTCAGACATAAAGTAAGCATCAGTCAGACATCAAGTAGGCATCAGTCAGACATCAAGTAGGCATCAGTCAGACATCAGTCAGGCATCAGTCAGACATCAAGTAGGCATCAGTCACGACATCAAGAATGCATCAGTCAGACATCAAGAAGGCATCAGTCAGACATCAGTCAGGAGGCATCAGTCAGACATCAAGTAGGCATCAGTCAGACATCAAGTAGGCATCAGTCGGACATCAAGTAGGCATCAGTCGGACATCAAGTAGGCATCAGTCAGACATCAAGTAGGCATCAGTCAGACATCAAGTAGGCATCAATCAGACTTCAAGAAGGCATCAGTCAGACATCAAGTAGGCATCAGTCAGACATCAAGAAGGCATCAGTCAGACATCAAGTAGACATCAGTCACACATCAAGCAGGCATCAGTCACACATGAAGTAGGTCTCAGTCAGACATCAAGAAGGCATCAGCCAGACATCAAGAAGGCATCAGTCAGACATCAAGAAGGCATCAGTCAGACATCAAGTAGGCATCAGTCAGACATCAGTCAGACATCAAGTAGGCACCAGTCAGTCATCAAGTAGGCATCACTCAGACATCAAGTAGGCATCAGTCAGACATCAAGTAGGTATCAGTCACGACATCAAGAAGGCACCAGTCAGACATCAAGTAGGCATCAGTCAGACATCAAGAAGGCATCAGTCAGACTTAAAGTAGGCATCAGTCAGAAATCAAGAAGGCATCAGTCAGACATCAAGTAGGCATCAGTCAGACATCAAGTAGGCATCAGTCAGACATCAAGTAGGCATCAGTCAGACATCAAGTAGGCATCAGTCAGACATCAAGTAGGCATCAGTCAGACATCAAGAAGGCATCAGTCAGACATCAAGACGGCATCAGTCAGACATCAAGTAAGCATCAGTCAGACATCAAGGCAGCATCAGTCAGACATCAAGTAGGTATCAGTCAGACATCAAATAGGCATCAGTCAGACATCAAGTAGGCATCAGTCAGACATCAAGAAGGCATCAGTCAGACATCAAGTAGGCATCAGTCAGACATCAAGAAGGCATCAGTCAGACATCAAGTAGGCATCAGTCAGACATCAAGAAGGCATCAGTCAGACATCAAGACAGCATCAGTCAGACATGAAGTAGGCATCAGTCAGACATGAAGTAGGCATCAGTCAGACATCAAGTAGGCATCAGTCAGACATCAAGAACGCATCATTCAGACATCAAGTAGGCATCAGTCAGACATCAATGTAGGCATCAGTCAGACATCAAGTAGGCATCAGTCAGACATCAAGAAGGCATCAGTCAGACATCAAGTAGGCATCAGTCAGACATCAAGTAGGCATCAGTCAGACATCAAGTAGGCATCAGTCAGACATCAAGTAGGCATCAGTCAGACATCAAGAAGGCATCAGTCAGACATCAAGTAGGCATCAGTCAGACATCAAGAAGCTTCATCCTTCAGATGGGACGTAAAGCCGTAGGTCCCGTGCGTTGTGTAATGCACGTAAAAGAATCCAGTAACACTTATCGCTAAGAGAAGGGGTTTACCCTGGTGTTTCTGGCAGTGGCTGCTTTAAGCGATGCAGCACCTTGTTAACCCTTATAAGGTGCTACATAAAGTGAGTTTCATATTTCAAATACTTCATTTAAAATATATTCATATTAATTAGTGCCTTGAGTACCTAATTGTTGGTAGATATGTGCGCTATATAAGACTTCGTTACTATTATTATTTTAATGATTATTATCAATGAGGCATATGTTAGGCATCACCCATGCATCAGTGAGGCAAAAGAAGGCGTCACTGAAACTTGCCATCAGGAGTCATCAATGAGGCATCAGTCAGGCACCAGACAATTATTAATGTCCGTGAGACATCAAACAGAAATCAAAGTGTTATCAGAAGGCATCTGTCAGTTACCAACCAGGCATCAATTCTTTTTCACTTTTTCGGCAGGTGCATATTGTGCACAGAGTCCATACAAGTACTGTAAAGTCACTGGTTCACATGAGCTACTATCAATCAAAAATCACTGCACGTTTGTGGACAGAGCCTGATGAGGGCATCTTTCACACAGAATGCAATCTGAGAAAATGAAAGCTGCTTGAGAGTCATTCATTCAGGACCGTTGCAGTTTTTAATTCAACTAACACATAACAATAATTTGGTCACAATGCCATGGGTGCTCCAAAATAATGCTTGTGAACATGCATTCAGCCAACATCCAATCTTACCATTTTCCACAAACTTCCCACTGAGGTTGTTCAACTTAGTTGAAATTTGAATTCCCGTTTCTTTTGGAACAAGAAATTTTACATTTCTACACTGTTGCACAGCTTTTAGCGCAATTGTCTTCACTTTATTTCGACTAGGATTGAACGACAGGTGTCCTTTCTTTATCTGAATGACACCAATATTCATGTACAGGTGTGCAAATCACTTGCATGTAAAACATCCCCCTATAGAAAAATAAAGGTATCAAAAACCTAACCCATTTTCACATGATACGTGGGTCCTAACACTGATGGGGAACATACTGATGTATTAATGTTCTTGGGCAAGACACATTGCTACTACATGTATCTATTTTCCTTCTCATATGAAATTAGGTCTCTATTTCCTCATAGCTAGTCTTACATATGAGGGTATTGGACCATTGACTAACAGCAGTAATGATTGTGAAGCACTTTGAGACATGTGTAATGAAGGGCAATATAAATGTATTTATATATACAGCGGAACGCCGCTATAATGAACATCGCGGGATCCACAGAAAATGTTCGTAATAGTGATCGTTCGGGATAGCGATTTTAAGCTGCCGGTGCTCCGGTACTGACTTTTCAATAAATGGCGCCCCTCATAACATCAACGTGCACGCCCTGGTAGTTACTGAAAGACAACTTCGAACACGTGCCGACTATTGAATTATGTAATTACACAGTTTTGAGCTTACTACCTACATCGATGGGTGGCTTTCCCCTTCTATGCCTTGAAGAAATAATAGCCACTTGTCGCTCTTCTGTTGACGGTTTTCAACAACAATGTTCGGTTGGTTTTGTACACAAAAATCAGGAGCCAAGGATGATGTTCGGTATAGCCGAATATTCGGTATAGCGGTGTTCAGTATAGCGACATTCCACTGTATACACCACATTAGTTTCCAAGTCAATGTTAGTCTGTAGTTGTTTTAGTTAGTACAGGGTAAGGATATTTGTATTTTTTTCTTGCAGTTAAAATAACAATTTCTCCTCATTGTTAAAATTTCAAAGAATAACTGTTAAACCAGAGCGTGTTTAATTTCAAAAGGTACAAAGGAGTGGTCCAAGAAGTGATTTGATGGCAATGCATTTTCACATGTTTCTTTTAACTTTTCAATGGCTCTGACTTCCATCTCCTTCTTTTTTAAATGAAAATAAAAAAATTACCTCGGTATCTTGGGATTACAATGAAAGTAACAGAGTTCAGGTATCAAAGTCTGTCTGTGCCGAGTCCGGGAGGGAAGAGATGGCATCTAGGAGCATGTGCTTGGGGATCTCCGACCCCCGCACCCTCAGCATGTAGCAGGCGTTCTCCACTTTGGACACGCTCTGTCGCATCACGGACAGCTTGCGCACAAACTCCCGGCCCGGCTGGTTCCCAAGCAGCTGGAAGCTGTCGTACAGCTCCCGCATGAAGGCTACCAGCTCAAACGGGGTCTCCAGGTCCCCAACCCCGACGCTGTTGATGCACATGCGCATGAGTTCACCGGTGAAGTCGGCCACGCCGAGGACGTAATCCAAGGGGGAGACATAGAGTGCAAGAGTCCTGTGGAGTGTGGCTGAGGGTGGTTCCTTGGGGAGGCTCCCTTGCTCAATGGCATCATCAGGCGCAGCTTCCCCTTCAGGTTTTGATGAATCCTGACAGGTCAAATAAACAATTAACCAAAGCAATCAATTTCTACTGAATTTTAACAGGAGTACTGTGTATCCAATAAAACATGAACTCCTATTTTGTTATAAACTTGAGAGATATTTCTTCAACTTTTGGAAAAAAGGTGGTCTCTTTATGATTGATCAAATCCTAACTGATAATTTCCAAAAAGCTCCAGTACATCCCAAGGTTAATTGGCAGCGTCACTTTTGCATCAGGTGTCACTCCCCCTATATAAATGCCATGGACCGTCCACAGCAGACAATCTATACTATACTATCAAACAAGCCGCTTTCGTTGATTGTACCTTTGTCTTTGAATCTTCCCCTTCCTCAATGGGAACCCTGAACTCCAGCTGACCCCTGACCTCGCCCAGTCCCATCAGCCTCCTCTCGGCCGCGTAGCACAGGAACAGGACGGCCTCTATGTACTCCTGGAGGCCCGGGGAAACCGCCCGATGGAACAAGAAAGGATCCTCCCCCTCCAGCTCCCTGGCAATGCGCTGGAGACGACTGGCCTGGATGTCCTGAATCTTACCCTGGGCCTCCTTGATGAGGGACTCCTTATCCTCCTCTCTGCAAAACAAAGGAAAGAAGAAGTAAGTCTCCTAGACCATGTGATGAAAATCAAACCTCAGACAGGATTTGATTGAGGTACTACCATATATATATAATTTAGTTTCCTAGACCATGTGATGAAAATCAGACCTCAGACAGGTTTGATTGAGGTACCATATATTTGTCCAAACTATATTGAATTGTATGTAAATGTTGGGCTTGGGCAACTGCAAATTGTTATTGTATAGATTTGATTCTAAACTTGAATCAGAATAATGACTTCACCTTTTGTGAGAGTACATACTACATGTAGGCTTCCTGCTGTAGCCAAGAAACTTCAAAATATACACAGCAATTATAATTAACATGGTACAAAAAGATTTATAAATTTCTTTAAAGCTACAGTCCATCATTTGCAGCTGTCCAAAAAATAACTGACGTAATTATTGTTGAAAAACATACTTGGTTGAAAGATAGTACGGGGACTAAACTCCCTGTGAATTTAATCTTTTTGGCAAGCTGTCATTTTGAAGAAATCAACAAGAGAAGGCCTTTCCAACGGTGCGTCTTATGATGCACCGTTTTTTATTCGGCGAAGCGCCCGCAAACATTGACACGACGCACACGCGCGCGCAGTTGCTTTAATTCGTCGGATCGGTGCACGACAATGAGTAGCTGCAATCGGCTCAGTGAGAACATGTCTCAGATGCTGAATTCAGGCCCAATTCAAAACATGATTCAGCAACTTTTGATTTGAAATCGAGATCCTAGAATGTTGTGTTTCTCGAAATGTACAGCTGAAGCTGAGCTGAAACTTTATCAGGTTTAGTTGTTCAGCACCCTTCTTTAGATTTTGAGCACTTTTGTTGCTTCAAACAAACAAAATGCACAAATTACAAATGATGGACTATACCTTTAACCTTATCATCGCTCTTCCATAATTGAGGAAGGTGGTGAAACCAGCCAACCAATCCCGTTAGCTCGGTGGTCGAGTGGTAAGACGTCTTCACTAGTAAGCAGGAGGTCATGGATTCAAGTCCCACCCGAGTGATTTTTTTCCAACTTTCACTCGAGGGGTAGCACACTGAGTATACAGTGTTTATACATCGGTGACGGGCAAAACCTAATATTGATTGACATCACCCCGACGCAAAATTCCATCTTATGAGCAGCTTAATGGATTTTGTAACTTGAAGGATGTAAATTCATAAATGATGCCTCAAAAGAGATTCCACAGTTCCTAAGTTTTAGGAACTGTGTATGATCTTACCCTGAAATGCGATGGAGCAGGAAGATGGTCCGTTTGCTCTCAATGGTAACATCTCTGCTCAGCTTGACCAATCTCTCATGCTTGTCATGCTTGGCATCCAACTCCGACTGAAAGATCCTTGAAAGCAGAGAGAAAATGGAAAAATAAAATGACTCTTCAGCCTGCAGCTTATTTTAAAGACTTAAAAGCCTTTAAAACACCTGGGCAGTGTATGCAGATCCAAAAGTTCCACATCAGGGGGGAAATCTGAATGTTAACATTCCTGAATGACCTGGATGAAAACATCAGTACAAGTGAACTGTTGATGCAGGTATGCAACTGTAAAGTCACACAAAAAAGAGGAAATTCCGAGACTTGGAAGACTTTGTACAGTGTTTTTGAATTTTTAATGGCAGACTTGGAAATTAAAAAAATGAGGAAATCAGCTAGTCCAAGGAAAAGTTAAACGACTGTTGATGCATTCTCCAGGCGTGAGAAAAAACAGGAACTTGCACAAAAACAGGAAAAAAAGATGTGAAATCGGGCAAAAAAACCCAAAACAGGCTCAAAACAAATAAAAACGCGGAAATTTGGGCAACAAAAACACAGGAATTCCTGTTTAAACAGGAAGATTCTCATGCCTGATTCTCTCTGGTTGACAGTTGATTGCACCAATGTGGGGCACTTCTAATGTGGCAAGTTTATTTGTAGGCCCTTATTCCTGTACAACCATACGTGAGTAACAGTGTTCTCCAAATTGTACAGACAGTGAGACTCTGGAAAAACATTTTCCAGTTCTTAAATCTTGAGTTCACAATCCTTTTTTTTATTTATTAGCTGATTCAACCTACCTGAAGGTTTTGACAACTTCAGAATTTTCGTCAACTGCGGGCTTGACTCCCTTGCGCATCTTTTGGCTCGCTGGCCATGAATCGCCTGACTGAGATCTCTTGGCTGGTCCTGAAAACAAATGCAGAGATGTTGCGTTACATTGGAGAAAGAGACATTAAATTGTCCTATGAACAATGCAACCAAGATTCAGCTGATCTAGGGAATTAGTTAATTGGCAATATTTACAGGTGTGGCCAAACGCTAAGTATTAATTCCTGAAATGCTCCCCGTGGCCTGTGCTGCCCAAAGTCTTTCATCCTGTCATTCCTGTGGGTCTCGGAGGCATAACTATATGTACATGTAGGGTCAAACTTCTAGGGAGGCACTGAAGGCAACTGATTTATTGTTTTTGTGCAATTCAAACATTTTAAATGGGGGTGGGGGGGGGGGCACTGACCTTCACTGGGGGAGGGGGCACTGTCCTCTTCTGGGGGATGGGCACATGCCCCTCGTGGAGTTTTGGAAAATATGTACACCGATTTACAATATTTTTCGTTTAAACCTGTAAACTTCACTGATCTTGAACAAGTTGAAGACATGCATCATTACGTCAAAGAGCTATAGGCCTAATTGGGTAAACTGGGGGTGGTATAGCTGGAGTTACCCAGCCCTAAATTTAGGGCTGGGTAACTCCAGCTAGGGGTGGTACAAACTACATGGGAAGAGGCAGAGGCCAAGTGCAAGTGGTGGGGGGGGGGGGAATTAGTGACGTCCGTACATGGAGTTCTTTCCTATCCCCCTCCCCAGCTCCCCTCCCCATCCATAACCCCCCTGAACCTCCCACCTCCAGCCCTTGCCCCGCCCCCAGCATCTCCCCCTCTTCGCCCCGCCCCCTTTAGAACGTGCTATGATGCTTAAAAAAACAAAACATGATCAACTTGACTCTTGACTGGGCTGGGACTTCAGTCGTAGCGAGGCTAAGCAATGCCAATGGAGCTATAAAAAAACCTACAATCTGCCTACCTTTGAAACTTTTCCCATCATCCCTATGACCACGGTCAGGACGGACCATACTTAATAAAAATATCAAGAAAAAGTCAAATCATGGAGAAAAGACTTCCACTTTTTAAGTTCAAGTTTACACACGACACGAGTTTAATTCGCTCTCTTTTAAATGGTTACCGCCAAATTCCAATGTAATGCGTGTCTTTTTTTCTGATTACCAGTTTCAGGTAGTCGGGTGACTTTTGTTTAACGCTTTACTCCCATACAGTTTACGTTTCACTTGTATGGAACCCAGGCGCCATTGGTATTATTTTTGTTGTGAACAATCTAGCGAAGTCACATCGACGGTACGGTGCGGGACAACCTGTTGAAATATGCGATGACAGCAATCAATCAACTGATGAATAACTTAATAATATTTATTGAAGAGGACTGATCTTGCCAAACGGTCATTTATAATCAACTGCCAAGTAATGAAATCAATATTTTGTACGACACCTGTCAACGAATCGCTAAAAACCTAAGATATCCGAGAGATGGCGAAGCAGTACGACATTTTGATTCGCATGCTTATGATTGGTGACTCGGGTGTTGGCAAGACGTGTATGCTGTGCAGATACACTGATGAGGGATTTATCACACCGCACATCTCCACAATAGGTTTGTATATGTGTATCAAATACTTAGTATCAAAACTGGAAGGCCTACGTTTGTTAACTGACTCACTTGCCTATATGTCTAGATCATGCAGATCTGTGGTCTGGCATGCCTGGTGAAATTTTAACCATGTTATTATTGTTAACACATGAGCATTAGTGACTTTTCATGAGTCATGCCATTTTCTTTATTTCCATTTTTTTTACATAGGCCCTAAATCCTTTTTATAGCTCCATGCTTAGGCCTAATGTCATCTCTTCTAACAGCATTATGAGCCCCTTTACTTTTATATTTATCCTCGATCCTCAATAATCTGCGCAGATAACATTTTGCAAACGCAAATTAAAGGTGAGTATGAGAAATAGGATCGTGTACTTTTAAAGGGTCTGATGAAATATGGAATGAAATAAAATTTCTTTAATACCCAACTTTACGTTTATTCACGTTCATTATCCTTGTCTTTTTTACTTACTTTATACTTACTTACACACATGTAGGTTGATGGGAATTGAATAGGCTAAGCCTTCATGACCCCATATCCAATTTCTTTCCAATAGGCATCAAGTTGGTTCTTAAAGGGTTCATTTGCAAACATCAAAAAATAAAACTACCAAATCATTTTGAAATACCTTGCTGGACTGTTAGTGAATGACAGTGTAAAGCATCCTGTAAAATCATGGCACCTGGTATACTGTCATTTTCAAGAAAAGCGTTGGAAAAAAACTGGCTATTTTCATATACTGGCCCCAATTGACCATCGCACTTGTTTGCAATCGATTTCACACAGGTGAACGGATACAAGCCAGCTAGACTGGTTCCCTGACCTTACAATTCCCCAATTTATGTAAACTGCTCTGTTTCTTCTTATATGGAGTCAGGGAACCAGACTACAGGAAAATGATTGTTTTTCTTGGTTTTTATAGCATTTTCGAACCCAAAACCTCAAAAAAGTCAGTGTAACTATATTTGCTATATACATTGTATTTCCAACCCCCCAATTCCATCCATTTCTGAAAATTACAGCAAAAGCAAATGATGTATATTCCCTTTAAACAGGTTGGTTGGCTGCATTTACCACATGTGATGGTTGGGAGGTTGTTCCATTCGGAAATAACTCGGATGGAAAAGAATTCTTCTCATGCGAATGCAAATGCGATCCTAATTTGACGTCACAAAGGGGGGCTGCATTCGCTGCGAAATTCGCCGGTGTTGAAATGTGTTTACTTTTGCGAATTCACAGCACAAAATGTTTGCTGTGACATCACCAATTTGTATTCGCATTAAATTTTGTACTGAGTATGCACCGGCCTTTAGTTTAGCCATATTAAACCAGTAATCCCCAGTATCATACATGTACATTGTACATTGTACATGCTATGTGGCCAGGAATCATTACCAAGTCGTGATGATACAGCTAAAAATAATCAATGTTGTAAACCTAGGAAATGGCAATTGGGCATCAGTCTAGAGAGAAATACAGCTTTTCTCAAAAAGAAGAAAACAGTCAATGTTTGAATGTACATAGTATACATGTAGCGCACAGTGTGTATTTGGAAAAGTAGTGAGAAAAGTTTGTTTGCTTAAAGTATATATACAACATTAGCAAGCATCAACCATTTAAAAACAAAAATACATAGGCCTATTCATCAAATTGTTATGAAATAATAGTTTCAAGCATTCTGTGAAATCATGGCAACTGGTGTGCTTTCATTTTCAAGAAAAGTGAAATTTTTGTATCAATTTCCAACGATGGTCAGCAGACCATCGTTGGGAAAAAAAAAAAATTCCCCCTCTTCAAATACTGCCACCAATTAACCAAATAGTACCTTTAAATGTGAGTCAAGAACTGCTTCTGCACCTGGGGTCTCACTATATTTGGATTCCACTTCAACTTACTTGTGAAAAAAGAACACACCATACAATTCTCAATGGCTGTTTAAATAAATTGTGGAACGTGTGGTGACCTCAAATGTACTGTGACCAGTTCAATTGATTTGACCCCTAATTGAGTGGTGTTGCAAACATTGGCCTGTACCAGATGTCTGTTAGGCTACGTCTATTGTCAGCGCGTCCCCACGTATTTTCAATGGGCGCAGACCTAGACCTAGCTCTAGACAACTGATTCGGATGCAGCCTTACTATCAGTATGACCATAATGTCCAATGCATTAGCTTTTGTCTAAATTGGAGTATTGTTCTGTGCCTGTGCAATGCCAGTTTTCCTGTAAATTTGATTTTGTTTTTAATGAGACTGATCACCATGGGCGTCGCCAGGATTTTTTCTAGAGGGGGGCAAAAAAAAATTTTGACCAAAAATGCTTGTATTTTTCAACACATTTTCGATTTATCAGTTTTAGAGGGGGCAGGGACATTTTGGCCCCCCCCCCCCCCCCCACTCATTAAATTTACACCACTTTGTCTTCGCGCCTCTTTTTCTTTTCTTTTTTTTCCTTTTTTTTGCGTCCTTCTTTTTTTTTTTTTTTTTTTTTGCTTTTCCAGGGGGGGGGGCAAGGCCCCCCCTTGCCCCCCCCCCCTCGCGACGCCCATGCTGATCACTTGAACAAAAATGCAAAAGCCATGAAAATTATCATTCACCTCAACTTTTATAGGACTGAAACAGATCATTCGTAGAGAAAATGACTTCATTTGTACATTTTTTGTACCTTTATAAAAAAAATTCAAATGTGTTATGTATGATAAACAAGACGCACAAAATCGGTTACTCACGTTACATTTTCGTATCGTGAGTAACCGATTTTGTGCGTCTTGTTTATCATACATAACACATTTTTCTGGATGTCATCTTTGGTGCTTAGGTACATGTACATGTAGGTCTAGGTCTACTCTATCTACCATGAGGATAACAGTTATTAAGCCTTTTCAGTAAGGTAATTACAGCCTAAGGAAAATCAAAAGTACATCAAAAATGTAACGTGAGTAACCGTGGAATAGCCCAAATGAATAAGCTAGGAGGGGGTGAATTTCAATACCAAAACAGCCCAGGCCAAATGCACTACTGCAATCCATTGAGAACTGCCTCGATGTCAAATTCTTTCAAAATACCCGGTAAGAATGCATTGAATTAGGCCGAGCATTATAATACAGTTTTGTTCAGATAAATACTGAAAATATGTGAAAAATGTCTGACCATATTTTTACCTTTTGTTATTTGGAATGGATAACTTACCAAACCACATGCAGTTACCAAGTTGTTTTGGGATAATAGCATAATGGAGGCCAAGCCAAGGTCATATTTAAGCACATGTAATGCCATTTTGAATACGGTACTCTAATTCCACTTGATCACTAAAAATGCAATAAATTTTCTTTTTATGCCAGTGAATAATTAAACAATTCTTTTATTTAGCTGGCTTGTAGGCCTACAGACAACTATCTTTCAGCAGTGCTTTTTGTATTGAAATACACGTACATGTAGTTAACACTAACTCTCTATGCATTTTTGCAAGGATGCAAGTTGCAACCTCAATCCTGCAAAATCCTCCAACTGCCTCCATTTAAAAAAAAAAATGCATACAGCCTCAATCCTCCAAAATCATATCCGTTATGTCTTGAATGTGGTCCTTGGAGGGGTGACCGCTAGCTGCCTCAATCCTGCAAAATCCTCCATTTTGCAAAGAGGATTTGGGGGGATTTGGGAAGGTTATGGGACGTGCTGCCAAGAAGTAGAGTTGATTTGTAGATGACCGCATGCATGCTTCATCGAATGTAACACCGGTTTCACAGCACACAGTAATGTGCATGGAAGCTTTCCCAGTAGTCATGGTACCGGTAGTTAAGAATTGTTATACATTGTGCGTATTTACAGTTTTGCACACAAGTACAATAACAAACATTCCTGACATCACAGTTGGTAACTAACTTGGAGGAACGTTATTGAAGCCTCACAAAATGTTATATGCTATATATTTGTACATGTGATATTAATGGACATATTAATACCGGTACATACCGTATTTATTACAAATTTAATTACATGTACAGGTAGTATAACCATAGAGCTATATTAAATTACTAGAGCGCTAACTCGTGTACAAAGTGATGCCTGCTGGGCCCAACCATGTTTGTACACAAACCTATGGAGAACTAGAATTTTGTACGTATTTTGTACATCTGTTTGCCTATCTGCGTTTGTATTCCACACCGGTGTGTCATCGAAGCCAATACGCCCAAAACCGAAACGCACGATCAGCAAATGAGCCTGTTATTTTGCTCTACGCAAACAGCACAACGCGTGCGCGTCCCTCCGCTGCAGATGCTTTTCGCGGTGACGTTTTTTTTTACGATCATGACGCCAGGGCTCGAATTTCATGAAAAAAAAAACACTAGACAGCAGGTCTAGTAACTGAAGAATCTTACTGGACCTGAACTATTTTTACAAGACCTGTGTCATAAATAAGAAATTTAAACAACATATTGCCGCGCCAACTTTCATTTTTCATCAGTTAAAAAAAAATCACGTCATAAATTATAGATCAGCTGCAGATGCTTTTGGCCGTGACGTTTTTTGAACCGTCATGACGCGCTTAAGTTGTTTGTGTATCTTCTACCTGCGCGTTACATTTAGAGTACACTTTAAAAGTTAAATCCATCTATTTTGAGTGTGTTCTACAAACACGCACATAACTTCAAAATGTCTGCGTCCAGAGCGGTTTCAAAGCTTCTCCACGCACAAGAATGAAGAGTTAGCGCTCTACATGTTCATTGTAGCTCTATGAGTATAACGCTGATGATCTTGCTTGCGATTTTACAGGGATATGATTGTTGATATACTGCGTGTGTATATAATGTACGTGTATAGTTCTTTAGTGTTGCCCATCAGACAGACAAGTTTAACTATACATGTACATACACATACCGGTAAATGAATGAAAACAAATGAACTGTTTTTAAATGATCTATAATTTATGATGTGATTTCTTTAACATAGACTCCATCATTGTCCATAGTTCTTCTTGAAATCTTCCTCACCAATTTCTCTTCAATCAATATAAATTCAATTTTTCAGTCATTCATACACTCACCGTGTTAAGGAATAATGTTTTTATTTTCTTTCTCTGTCCACAGGTATTGACTTCAAAATGAAAAATTTAGAATTAGAGAACAACAGAATCAGAGTGCAAATCTGGTGAGTAGTCAATTTTTCCCAACATATGTGATGCGATCAAGCTAAATGAGTCGTTTGTTGATCCTGGTCAATTTTTTTTATTATTACAGATTTGAAAAGAGCACAATCTCAGCATTACTGCTGTGAAAACTGCATGCTGATACCATCTTTAGTTAAAATGTTGTAACGTCTCTCTGGGTTGAGAGACATTATCAAATAAAGAGTCAGATACAAATATCTTACACACACACACTAGTACTTTATTCGGGATTATTTACATCTCAGGTCAATAGAGGGCGCACTATATACAATGTAAAGTTAAGGCGTACATGATTATCTGTGTACAGACTAGGGTCTATGGCCAGCAGTGAGCGGACAGCTCGATAATCTACGTGTACATGTCAGGAACTCTGTCGGGGTCAGAGCCCAGATCAACAATGACCAGAACTGCCATTTCTGCGCGCTTTATATACACTTTTGGGTGCGCGTCTTAGCCAATGGGAGCATTGGATTCTGGTAGTTATGAATAATGCATCCGTGTACAAAGGCATGGGGAAAGTTCTCTATGGGAGATTTGTACACGACTGACTTAGACAATCTACTGGAAGAAAGTCCGAGAGCAGTGGTTAGCGGGCGAAGTAGGATCACTCGTGGGTGCCTTACGGGGAACTGATCCTTAAGGAAAAGGGAAAGGGAATAACTTCTCGGTACATAAGCTTGTGTACAAGACTTAGTCTCTAGACTAGGTAGGAATCTACACACTAATGTTATCTGGTTATGGAGTAAAACTATGAGCAGGATGAGATGAAGGATGTAACCTGACCTCTAGCTACCGTAGGTCTCGGCCAGTGGGTTAGCGGGACACACTTGCTGGGGTGTACGGGGTCACTAAGGGGTGAATACACGGGTAGGTTTTAGCGAGCCACATTCGCTAAATGCTTGGGTCAATGTGGGTCAGATGCGAGGTAAGGTGTGTGAGGGGAATTCGCATCGACTCCGGGGAAAGGTGGAGGGAAAATGGCTAAGTCCTAAGTACATGTCCCATGGCGGTACATGTTCAATAGCTGTGAGCGCTACATGCATTGCGCGCTATACAATAGCGTACTGTATAGTGTGCTGCACACTTATACGTGTGTCTAAGACTTCGTGGTAAGCTTCGCGCTGTGTGAGGGCACACAGGATCGCTGCAAGCATTACACTGTGCACGGAGTGGAATGGATTGATTGGGAAAGAAGTAAACTACGCAATTTGCGGAAACGCAACAATGTTATGGAAGACGAAATACCAAGAGTTGTGATGAAGTGGCCGTACTTTGGCCTGAATCTCCAAATGAAAATTCCCGATAAACGACTTATTTAGCTTGATCGCATCACATAAGTAATTAAAGGTACAGTCCATCATTTGTAACTTGTGCAATACGTTCGTTTGAAACAACAAAAGTGCTCAAAATCAGCCTGGTTGGGATGCGCCAAATGTAAACTGCCTGATATCATATTGGATTCAGCAATTAATTCAAGGCTACCGGTATATACCGGTACATGCAGTAGTTAACGATTCAAACAAAAAGCTGGTACATACTTGTACAGCTTATATCACTGACAATGGCACTTGCCAATGCTAACAACATAATGCACACAAGATTACCTTTATTGCTTGCTAATAAAAATGTATTTGACCACGCTTAAATGTACAAAAGTGCCATAAACTCCACAGATTCAGTTGTGCTTCAACCCTACCCCCTAGTTGTTGAGTACATATTGTAAATTACACACATTTGTTTGCGTCGTGTCAACGCTTGCGCGCGCTTCACAGAATAACAAAAACGACATACTAAAGGAAATTTCCTGCTGCATCTTAAGATGCACTGTTGGAAAGACCTTCTTTCGTTGATTTCTTCAAAATGACAGCTTGCCAGAAAGAATAATTTCAAAGGGAGTTTAGTCCCCTTACTCTCTTTCAGAAATTGGTTAGCTGCAAATGATGGACTGTAGCTTTCAGTAAATTTTATTAAATTCATAACAGTTTATGTATGTACATGTACATGTATGTAAACTTGTATTATAACTTAAACATGTTAAAGGGAATGTACAACATTTGCTTTTGCTGTAATTTTCAGAAATAAATGGATTTGGAGGAATAGTATGATATAGCAAATATTGTTACACTGGCTTGCTTCATGTTTTGGGTTCGTAGATGCTGGAAAAACATAGAAAACCAATCATATTCTTGTACTCTAGTTCTATGACCCCACTCAAGATGAAACAGAGCAATTTATAGATGTTGGGGAATTGTAAGGTCAGAGCAGTTTTAAGAACAAGGAGCATTTTTTTGAAAAAAAAACAGTTTTCTCCAACGCTGGTCGGCCGACCAAGCCGACCACGCTGGTCGGCCGACCAGAGTTGGAGATTGATACAAAAATACCACTTTTTACTTTAAAATGTCAGCGCACCAGGAGCCAGACGTTACAGGATGCTTTAGACTGTCATTCCCTAACAGTCCAGTAAAGAATTTCAGATCATTTTGTTTTTTGATGTTTGCAAATGTTGTATCTTCCCTTTAAACGTGACATGACAGTTCAAGTTGATCCTAGTAGCAAGTTTTCTCAGGCCCACGTCACACACACATGTTCATTGGAGCCATGGTGTTTCGGTATTCATCAGGTTGTCATGTTCAGATGTTCAGTTGTTTTCTTAAAAATTCTGTTTCACGAGTATAATGTATCATTCCCCATTGTCATGTTTGCAGGGACACAGCTGGCCAAGAGCGATACGACACAATCACCACACAGTACTTCCGAAGGGCCCAGGTAAACACTGACCAGTCATCTGATGAAATGTATGCAGTAGCCTATTGCATACACCTGATACATTTGTTTAAATGACAAATGAGGATTCAGGGTGCAAGGTTGTATGTAACTTAGCGAGTCTCTATCAAGTTAGGCCAAAAAAAAAATAATAGTACTGCTTCCGGTTTCCCTACCTACCCTATTCTTACAGCCCCTACCCTCATTTTTTTATTGTAAAAATGAGGAAAAAATATCACCCAAAACCATCACTTTATACTTTTTACCCTTGACTTCACGCAGACACCTCCATATGATCGTACACACAAAAAAGGCCCCCAAAAATGTTTCCTACCTACCTACCCTATTTTCGAATGCTATGTAATCGGAAGCAGAAGTCAGGGTGTAAGGAATGCTTATAATGTCGCTGTTCATTCGAATAGCTTGTGACTTGACTTGAGCTTGATGATCCTCCCCAGATGGGAAGATTTCCCAAACTTCTCAGGTGGGACTCGAACCCACAACCTCCTGCTTACTAGTGCAGACGTCTTAACATGGAGCCACCGAGCTTACCGGGGTTGGCTGGCTGGTTCGAATATGATGCGGTGCGCGTACCACAACCAAACTATTCATAAGATGGAATGTTGTGGCAAGCTCGGTGGGCAAGACGTCTTCACTAGTGTGACTAAGCAGGAGGTCGTGGGTTCGAGTCCCACCCGAATAGTTTGTATATTCTCACAATCACTCAGGACAACACTGGGTATGCAAGTGTCGGAGTAATATGTCGGTGAAGGGCAAGTTAACCCATTATTGAATTGATATCAACCCTGACGCAAAATTCCATCTTACGAATGCTCTCCAGATGAACGATCCCTGTTTGCTATTTGCAAGGTTTGCAGCATTGTTAAACCCCCTAGTACATGTAGTTCCTCAGGACTCCCCTGCTAAAATCAACAGAGTCCATCCGGAGTTTCCTGGTCAATCTACTGTGCCTTATTTTCAGTACTCTGTTGAATCCAACAGAGTCCAACTGCTGAATCCTACATTTTGCATCAGGAATGTGCACAAGGGGTTTACTGCTCAATCCAACAGGCTCCATCGGGTATATGACATAGTTGGATCCTGTTGGATTCAGCAGGTTTAGGGTTTGCTGGCATCGTGACTTTGGGTGTGATCCTGGCTACATGTCATACACAGATTTAGTGCTTCTAACTACTGCCCCTTGAACAAAGACATTGACAAACTGGGGAACTTAACATAGGGCTGCTAAGTTTGTAGAGTGCCTGACCCTGTTTTTGTTTTGTTTTGCTAAATTTTACATAATCGATTGAATTTTGTTTCTTTTCCTGCAGGGCTTTATGTTAGTTTATGACATTACTAGCGAGGCATCATTCCTTAATATTCAGAAGTGGATGACGATGGTTACAGAGGTATGTTTGTCCCCGCCAGTATCACACATGTTTATAATAAACACAATGTTTGTGTACCATGCTAATTCTGAAAAGAAAAGGGATATACCCTGTATATACAGGGTGGATAAAAAAAAACGAAACCGAGATATTATTGCTAAAAGTAGGGCACATGTGAATCAAAAGGAGATATCCTCTGTTAAGGTTATATCTCCTCTTTAAAATGACAGTTGTGGTTGTAGTGAAAGGCTATGGTTGCCGATCAAGGCAGGTGGGGGGAAAAAGAGATTTCACCATGAAAAGTGGCGCAATTCTCTAAATAGACCCTTTCATAAAATTGGTCACTGCTCAGTCAACCGTGAAAGTAATGACATGATCAGGGTGTCATTTTAAAGAGGAGATTCAACCCTTACAGAAGATATCTCCCTTTGATTCACATGTGCCCTACTTCTGTTCCAATTAGCAATAATATCTTGATTTTGTTTTTTTAATTCCTCCGTGTATGTATATGCAGCTGATTCACTTTAAAAAGGATTTCCTCTACTGTCGAAGATGATGATGATATTATGCCATTTGCAGTAAACTTATTTCTGCAATAAGTAAAGACAAAACAGTCACCCATTGCACGGTCTGTCCTAGCTATAACATTTGTTACTGTTGGTTATTGCAGGTTCGGATAATGCAATATATTTCAGTAAGTCCAGAGAACCTTGTATTAAGGAGATTCGACTGTACTTGCCTGTACAATGTAGTTAATGCATTTAATATATAAATATACACTAGAAAATCTGCAATGACATGTCCAATATTATACAATATTGCACTTTGATTAAGTAAAGTGTGTCTCCAGTAACATCTGGTACCAAGCCTTCTTGTTTATACATTCCCGCCATGTCATGGTACCAGACTGCTGGCATGACAAAATCGTGTATACAACTGCTATGACTTTTTAATTTTTTGTTTGTTTTCATGTTACTAGCATGCAGGCCCGGATGTGGACATGTTTTTAGTGGGAAACAAAAGTGATGCAGAAACGTTAAGAACAGTCACATACGAGGAAGGCGAAAGGGTACGTAGAATGACTTTGATTCAGTGTAACCCTAAAAGGGCCGGGTTATTTTGACCATCTCTCAGCCTTGGGGGGGGGGGGGGGGCGGATTCCGCCACCCCCCTAAGATCTCGGCCATCGAGTGACGAAAAATTATGAAACTCGGTACATGCATAGAACAACTATTTATGAATATAGCCAAGAAATTTCATGACTATAGGTCAAAGGGTTTTGGAATTATGGCTAATTAATTATTCATATGCACGAATGGTAATTCTGCTCTGTGTATACTACGTACGTATATGGGGAAATTTAGTTTGCGCGCTGGGTCGAATTGTATGTTTTTGGTAGGGTTAATTCCTTGGCTATCTCCAGCTGCATTATCAGTTCTGGCACTTGTGAATTAGATTACAACTTTACCCAGGGATTCAAAATGCTGAATAAGCACATCATGCAGATGGTTTGAATGTTTCCAGTCTAATATATTAAACTGATTGTACAATGTATTATCTAACTTTAAAGTTGAACCAAGAAATCGACTGGAGCAGGAATTGAACTAGTGATGTTGGATTACCATGTCGTCTTTCAACTTTATAATTACTACTGCATAATGCTGAAGCCCCCTAGTTTGTTTCCTTTTGTGATTTATTTGAATATTGTTTCGGTTTGTGGTAACACCATGTGGTAATAACTACTGTAGTTCAATAGATACATGTACTTAGTTTTGAAAAGAACTTGTCCTGCTTATTATCAACTTTCGCTAAGTAGTTTGTAGTTCCGATAAGAACAGCCCTGCTTAGTTCTAAAAGAAGTTGTCTTTGGTCTCAATGTTTCGACTAGCCTGCTCTAGTCATCGTCAGGAGACTACAGACGATGACTACTGACTACTGGTTTATTTGAACAATCATATTTTCTGATTTTTGTTCAACAGTTTGCAAAGGCAAATGGAATGGGATTTAGTGAGACCAGTGCGCACAACAGTTCTAACATAAACGAGGTAATGTCTTAGCTGTTATTGTCATCATCGTCCTTTTTCTTTGGTTTAAGCAAGACAGGATATTTATGTTAAAGGTAGAGTACATCATTTGCAGCTGTCCAAAAAGTACCTCACAAAATCATTGTTGAAAAGCATACTTGGTTTAAGAATAGTGATGGCACTAAACTCCCTGTGAAATTATTCCTTCTGGCATGTTGTCTTTTTGAAGAAAACAATAAAAGAAGGTCATTTCCAAAGATGAGTCAAGTGACGCATTTTTCAAAGTTTCCGTTTGTAGAAGGTTCTAAATGGGCGAATCCGTGCATGGGTGCGCGCAAGCATTGACACAATGTACACGAGATCGTAGAGTATTGTTTTCTCAGAATATACAGCATTCACAGAGCTAAACCTTCATCAGGTTAAAGCACCTGTCTTCGTTTTTTGAGCACTTTTGTTGCTTCAAATGAAATAAATACACATATGACAAATGAGCTACTCTCTATACCACTTTTTGGCCATGTCCAAATCACTTGTCTAGGTCTTTCGACAATTATAACTCCATGAGCACATACTGAAAGTAGACGTAGCCGTAGCTTTGAACCACCATTTGGGGTATATATAGCCTAAGGGCCAGGTTCTACTTGACGAAAATGTCAGTGCCAGGTGACCTGGTTAGTGATGGAGAATGTCAAAAAGTAATGTAATAATGTGGGGCTTAGGCCCCCCCCCCCAAAAAAAGTCTCCGGTTTCTGGTATGGAGCTTGCCCAAAAAGTGGTGTGGCGACGCGGCTTTTTTTTTATTTCCTCTTTTTTTTTTGCTTCAAATGTCGGCTGATGACAGCAAATGGTGCCCGACTAAACTTAGTGCAAATATTATGGGAGACCAGAGAGGCCACATAAATCTTATTCTCGATCATAACCTCATCTAAAAACACGTTAAAATTGTGCAGCAGCAGGATTCCAGTCAAACCAGTGAGTTTGGCGGTTTTGAAATATCATCTTTCATTGAAAAAAAACCTTTTTCATTTTGCCGACGCGCATGGCTACGACGACGCGCGCGCATACCAGAAACTGGAGACTTTTTTTATGGCCTTATGTAGCACTTTATACCAAAAGGAAACAAAGCACTTCACAACTGTTAATACTCGTGTTCATCAAGCCATGAGACCAGTTTTTGCAGCAGCTTGAGATGAGGGCATTCTGGTCTCTACCTTCACAGGTACCCATTTGTACTCCTGGGTGGAGAGGGGCAATTGTAGTGAAGTGTCTTGCCGAAGAACACAAGCACCATGTTCCCCGTCGGGGTTTAAAATGGCACCCGAGTCGAACACCATAACCATTGGACCACAGCGCTCCACATAAAAATTTCTAATTGATGACATTTTGAAATTCGCTTCGCTTTGATTTTGGTATGTGTTCACGATTCATGACTTTTTTTGGGGGGGGGTCTTTTTTTGTTATCCTTCAGGCATTCGTCATGCTCACCAAGCAAATCATGAGGAAACGGAAGAAGTCTATCGAGAGGCAGATGGAGAATATACGACTGTATGCACGGGAGGACAGCCGGGCAGATCTAGAGGACCCAACACAGGGCAAGTCAGCTTGCTGCTGATGAAGCGCCACCGCACACTTCCTCGTCAGATTTTACTGTCTTTTATTTTAACGTAGAGTTCATTGCACACTTGCCAAACAGAGGTTTTACTTCAGTTCAGTTTGCCTCATTTTTTAAAGGTCAAATCTGAGACATTGTGTGCTTATTAATTTGCACTGTCTAACAGAAGTTCACTTTTAGGTACACGTAACTCACATCATTGCTTACATCCGTTGTCTTATAGGGAATACAGGGTGAGTAAAAAAAAACGATACCCAAATGTCTGGACCACCGTTTTAGTTAATTTCTTCATGTAGCATTTTCAAACTCTAGGATATGAAAGCCCAATTCATAAGCTTTCTTTTAGTACAAGAATCATTCAAATCACTCATGTACTTTCCAAGTTACGGATTTTTAAACACAATCGCCCTTTTAAGGTTCTGTCCACGGATCACAAAAAGTTCAGTGTTCTTTCAGCAAAACAAAAACAAATCATGTTTTCGTTTGCTGAAAGAACGCACACCTTTTTTTGTGATCCGTGGACAGAACTTTAAAACGATGGTTGTGTTTAAAACTCTGTAACTTGAAAAGTGCACGAGTGATTTGAATGATTCTTGTACTAAAAGGAAGCTTATGAATTGGGCTTTCATATCCTAGATTTTGAAAGTGTTACATGCAAAACTTCACTAAAACAATGGTCCCGACATTTGGGTTTCGTTATTTTTTACTCACCCTTTATACCACATTTGCAAACATAAAAAAAGAAAACAACAAATTATTATGAAAAACCTTACTGGACTGTTATGCGCCTATCAGGCATCATATCATTTGGGGGGGGGGGGGGGGGTAGCAAATTCGTGCAAGTGGCATCCACAACATGTGGATCTTGGTCATGGTGCGTGTGCCCTTGGGCAAGGCACTTTGTCACTCATTGCTTCTCTCCACCCAGGAGTAAATGGGTACCTGTGAGGGCAGAGATGGTTATTGTGATTGAATTAGCTTCCTTGCGCCTTACAAGCAGCATCGAGCTGTATACTCCCCAGGGAGCTGACATGGTTTTTGGAATGTTTCATGTGCCCAATGAGCAGGGTAATAATGATGTAGCGCCTTGAGCACCAGTCCTGGTGGATATGTGCGCTTTATAAATATCCACTATGAATATTATATTATTATTATTATCTTGATTGGCAAGTTGAAAAAGTTGAAATGTTTCAGTTGAATGGTAAATTCAGACGGAAAGGTTAGGGTCGAGGGAAAAAGATTTTAGTCTTTTTTTTGTGGCTGCATTTTACATGGTTTTGGTGCCAGTTTTCATCTTTGTCTTTCTGTCTCACAATCTTTCATATCAGGGTAAGTTTATGAGTTTATGGACATGTATATCAGGAATGTCACTTATTTATGCTATTTATAGAATACCCAACCTGCTGGTTTATTTATCAGATATATGTAGCTTTTATGTTGCACTTTTATTATTATCGTCTTGTAATGCTTTGAGTAATATTTGTACACATTTGCCAAATTATTGACTGTAAGAATGTCACATTATTTTAATTTCATTGCTGAGATATTTATTTTATCTACTTAAATTCTATGAGGAGTATTGTTCCGAGGAAGGTGAACTCTAGATTGGATACAATGTTCTCAAGGTGTTTTATGAATTCAATCCAATTCGCAAAAGGAATCGTGTAGTTTATTCTAATTCGGTCACATTCAGGAAGTGCAAAAATTTCAATCAAAAACTCGGGAGAAAAAAAGGCTTAACCCTAACTGTCTCAAATCTTTCAAAATCCTCTATGCAAAATAGAGGACTTCGCAGGATTGAGGCTACTGGCAAAAAAATGTGTGGCTGATTTTGAAGGATGCACTGTGTCAAGGTCTCGGGCCGGACCTTGTGTTGTTTAACAGTGCTTAGCAGTGCATGAATTTAGGCCTAGATCATGCCCTACTTGAAATCCTCCGCACTGCTCCATGATGTCACTGGCTCTGCCTCAACATATTAAAAGTGATTGCTGGAGGATTTTGCAGGATTGAGGCAGTGGTCACCCCTCCAAGGACCACATTAAAAAAAATTATGGATGATTTTGGAGGATTGAGGCTGTATGCAATTTTTACATGGAGGCAGTTGGAGGATTTTGCAGAATTGAGGTTGTATTTTTAGCAAAAATGCCTAGGGAATTAGGGTTAATCGATCAAAGTCACAAATAAAATTGAATTTTTAGTTGCAAATAATATAAGAACAGATTTGTTTAAATAGATTCAAGTGCAAGTACGCCAGAGTCATAGAGAGCGTCAACTCAGAACTTAAAGTAACTTTGGTTACACTGGTAAATATTTTTAATTTTGTTTTTTAACTCAAGTAGTCATGCCAAAAGTAACAATCTCCCCCCTCCTCAAGGGTTGATGAGTACCCTTGGAAGGAGTGATGGTAGAGTTGAAGGAAATTTGATACACGTGCATTAATTTATTCCTAAATGTGCATATTCAGTTTCTGGAATGTTGCAATATTGTCTAGACCAAATAATAAAATTATCAAATTCCATGTGAAAGCCAAGAATAAAAGAGCTATATGTATTCATTCAGGGACTACAGTCGAACCTTGATAAGAAGAGCACTGTTAATACAAGGTCCTGCTTATAACAAGGAACATTTTAGTTTTTGGTTTGCTTTGTGTTCCTTTGTTTCCATTTCTGTTAATACAAGGTACCTGTTATAACAAGGTAATTCGTAAAGTCCCAAGGACCTTGTTATAAAGGTGTTCGACTGTATTTGGATCATGTTTCAGAATTTTGTAAATTGGGGAATGGGGATGCATTGAAGGGATACATGTGTATGTAAGTTAGCAATGAGCCTTTCGCCAAGGCCAATCGTGGCGTAGACAGCGGCGGCGAATCCCCAAGTGACTGGAGTGGAGACTAACTGGCGAATGGCTTTGCCTCTTGGTGCACTGAACTGGTCTCTGCTCCAGTAGCTTAACAGCTGCGCTACGATGGCCTTTGCAAAAGGCTAAATTTCCATCCGTTTCATTTTAGAACATTCTGTGCAACACTGTTGGTTCTTTCAACTCTTTTAAGTTCTGTTCCATCTTTGAGAAGAAAAAAAATCCAAAAAAGCATTGGTACCCGGTCACAAATTTGATGAATCTAATTAAATGTGTTGTTTTTAGTAAAGGATTGTCTAAAAATTTAATTTTTAGAAAATTTCAGATATTAATTTAATTAATATCTGAAATTGTGCATTTCATTTTTTTTAAAATCAGCTTCTGTAAATCATCCACATTGCAAAAAGTAGCATAGCCCTAGATCACGCCATCAGTTAACCTTAGAATGTCTTGTATATTTTTGTAACATATAAAAGTATATTCTATTTATTTCATATTACTGTGCACGTAGTAGATACTGATGCACATTGTATGTTGTGTTCTGGTGAGGGTTCAACTTTGTTACTTCACTGAGTTCACTGTGCCTTCTTTCTTGGGTTGGAAATGCGCTTCCAGAATTAAACCAGTCTTCCTCCACTTTCATAAAACTCCAGTAGTATTGCAGTGGTCATCTTTCAGGTGTGATGTGCTTTGTGAATGAAAAACACGATCCTTATCCGCGATCCTTATTTACCAGTTTCAGGATTTTTTGCAACAATGTTTGTCAGAATTTTTGAAAAGTTCCTTTTGAGGTGTGGAATTCCTGAGGTTTTAGCGTTGGGGTTTTCAATAAAAGTTTATAGAGAACAAAATAGGAAGTGGGTATTTTAAGGTGTGCCCTTGGGCAAACACAACATACATATACCATTGACCCTACCCCTACGTTGCTCTGGGCCCTCAGTGACCCCAAACCCTCTGCCTATTTGATTGATTCGTCATTCTCCCTCCTTCCCCAATCTCACCCCTGGTAATGATACACAATTTGCTTGCAATATGTATTTTTCCTTTGGGAACTACATGTAGGTGGGGATGATGTTACCTGGCCCCAAAATAAAGCGCACATGCAAATAAACTTCGACGTCTTCTTGGATCTCGGATCTTAAATGGATAGTCTTCCGCCTAAATACTCCATATGGAATTTTAACTAGAGGTGTGGTAGTTGGGAGTGGTCGACTAAATCTTTACGAATTTCGAGGAAGGATGAGGTAGTTTTTTGTTAGACAATGGGTGGTGAGAAGTGGTTCTAGTCTTGGGTGGTTCTCAAAAAAGTTTGTGTCCTCTTCTTGCCCCGTTTTCTTTGATAAACAAAGAGAAGGGTGGGCGACATCAATCAAACTTTTTTTGGGGGTGGGGTGGGGTTGGGTTGTGCTTGATTTATGGGAACCTAGTTGTTCTAAATGACTTAAGTGAGTCTCCTGATGACCTGCAGAGCATACTGATCGAAATGTCGAGTTATATTAACCAACTGGTTCTTCTCAGAACTACACAACTCACTAAGGGATATCATTCACACGGTGTTACCGCAAACCTCCCATTCATCTAGTTGTTTTGGTGGGATGGGTGGGATTAAGCGTAAACAATATTTGGTGGTGCTCCTAGGATTGGTCATTGTGGAGGGCTCACCAGTAATTTATTTCAACCAGCTGTGGCTATTTCAAAAGTGAGAAGGAAAGGGCTGGACCTCGGATGCTAGGGGCACTTTTCTCAATGGTATGCGATGTACGTAGCCGTGTTTTGGCCCCCTTTTAGGCATTTTCTGTCGTCTAATTGATGCTCTAGCATTGTGAAATTGGCTTTAGGCTCCCTTTTTTTGTGGAGGGGGGGAGGGAAGGGGGTAGGGGGTTTCGGTCTTCAAGCCCCACCACAAGCTCCGGCCCTCCCCACCCTCCTGCATGCAGATTAAAGGCATTAAAAGTCTTTCATAGCGAAACCTAAACTCACACATCCTGTCCATTTGCAAATGTGACCTTAGCTCTCCTATGTATAATTGCAAAGGTTTCATAAACATAAAAGTCCTCAAGACACCACAAGAAATGACAAATATGGGCAACAAATACGGTACCAGGTCTACAGGTTTATTATTCACTTGCTCACACAGTCTTATGCTACACAGTGTCATCAAAGAGGTGACTTTACTTTTAACACTCGATTTCTTTTGTTTGCGTTTCCCCTATCATTTTTGGGTTTTTCTTAATTTTCACATGACCGCAAGTTGACCTGTAGTGGTGTTAACCACATTTAGGAGTTGGAGTTGGGTCCCCGGCGCTTTCCGAATGTGGGCACAACGTTGACGAAGCGGCGGTTGTACAGCATGCGACGCTTGGCACGGCCGGTCTTCTTCTTCTTCTTCTCCTCAGCGTCCACCTGTGAAAAGAAAACACACCAGATTTGGCACTTGGCTGTAAACTCAATGTTGCCAAAGATTGAGGATAGCCCTAAACTGTGGTCAAGAACTCGCAAATCAATTGTGTGCATGTTCATTCAATGAACTACAACATAGGTGTGTCATTGTTCATCCTCATCACTTGTGACCACACTTTGATTTGACATGTGATTGACTTAATACGATAAACCTGGCAACAACTCTGGTATACATGGACTTCATGCACGAATGCTAAGCGTGTGAATGCTTGGTTCGATCAAGACACTTTACTACAACTTGCCCCTCTCCACCCAGGAGTGTAAATAGGTACCTGTGAAGGTAGAGACCATAATGCGCTGATCTTGAGCTGCTGCAGAAACTGGTCTCATGGCCTGATGAACAGGGGTGATAATTGTGAAGCGCTTTGAGACCTTTGGTATATAAGCACCCCATTATATAACTCAGGTACCTTCATACTCTCTCTTTGTAACTAGTGAAAGGGTTTTTATGGAAACATTACGATCAAATAATACAAATGTGGTTGCTGAGCAAATTTAGTTGTACTGATTTTTTTTTAATGTATTTCAAGTGATTTCCAGTGGCCTTAAAAAAAGAAGATTCATCAAGAGAATACATCAAGTATGCTGACCTTGGGTGTTTGACCCTTAACCTTTCCAGCACGAGCCAGGGAGCCGTGAACCTTTCCTGTAGAAACACAAAATTATGCATAAATGCACAACTGAAGATTTTGCTCACGCTAAAGGGATAACCGTCAAGTAACGATTTTGGCAAAATTCAATAACATTTAAAAAAAAAAAAAAATTGTGAATTGCTCAAGCCTTTATGAACAAAAGGAACCTATCACTGCACATGACAAAGGCATGCTCATTTACTCTAAATGATTGTGGAAACTGAACTGCAAGGTACAGATCACAACACGCGTAGTAAACTCAACCTACTTACGCAGTTTTTGGATGCTGGTCTTTTCTCTTCACATTATATCATGCCCCACTTTTGAGCAACCCTTGAATTCATTTGAAATATAACTAAATCACAGAAACAAAAAAACCCCGATACACTCAACAGCCTGCAGAGGATGAAACTTGGCTCAATTACTACTCAGCACAAAGGTGACTTAACACGATCAATTTTGAGCTGCCACATACACTTAGAATACACTTACAGCACAAATTGCTTTTCTGGTCGAACGCGATAACTGGTCGTTAAATGTAAGATGTCCGACGATAACTTCATCGGTAAACTTTATCACCACAGATATAGAGTTTGGACCCTTACCTCCAAGCATGCGCACAGACAACTCCAGCGTGGCGTGCTCAGACAGACCGTAAGCTGACAGCATCTGGTCGTCCTCCAGGATAGCGGCACCGGTCATCAGGAGCTGGTCAGCTGTGGAGATACCCTCCAGGCTCTCCAGACGAAGCTAGATGAAGAATGAATGAATACATGTAAGACACTCTCAATGATGTTTGAGTGTTCAGTGTTTGTTAACTTTAACTCTAACTCAGCTAACATCTGCGGCTGTGAAAGAACCCTTTGGAACATTCTGTGGACTTGGATCATTTAAGGGCATTAACCCTAACCGCCCTGAATCCTTCAAAATCCTCTTTGCAATGTGGAGGGATTTGGAGGATTGAGGTTACATGGAAACAAAGCGTTACTGATTTCGCAGGATGCACTTTGTCAAGGTCTTGGGCCGGACCTTGTGTTGTTTTTGCTCAGCCATGAATAAATATAGGCCTGCATTATGATTGAAATCCTCCGCACTGCTCCAGGATGTCACTGGCCAAGCCTCAACACACTGACAGTCACTGCTGGAGGATTTTGCAGGATTCAGGCAGTGGTCGCCCCTCCACGGACCATATTCAAGAAATACTGGAGGAATTTGGAGGATTGAGGCTATATGCAATTTTCCCATGAGGCCAATTGGAGGATTTTGCAGGATAGAGGTTGCATCCTAGCCAAAAGACCTAGGGAGTTAGGGTTAAGGCGTGCCAAATGCGCGCCCTGCTAGGGATCTGGGCATCCCCCTTGCAAATATAAATCTACAATGCTTTCTCCTGCATTGTAAACTAATTTGAGAATTGAGAACGTTAGCATTACATTTATTGTTTTTGGCACCATTTTACTATCATCATAGCATTAGTCAGCGGCTAAGGGGGGGGGGGGGAGGGTAGGAGTTGTTTACCTTGAGATCACGGATAGACTCATTTCCAGTCACCTCAAGGGTGTGGATCTGCTGGCCTTGAACGAAAAGCTGCATGTTGAATCTGTTGGTCGAAATTAAAGAAAAAACTGGTTATAAGAAATTGGATATAAAATTATAAGGACAAATATTGAAATAACCAACCCGAAGTAAAGAATTCAACTGTTATCCATAATGTGAAAGAATTGCTCTTTTCTTGGACAAACTGCTCAGTAAGTTGAGGAACCTGGCTTGTGGCCAGAGCCTGGTCCAGTACTAGCGCAGCACTCAAGCAGTAAACTAGCCCCATCAATGTGGCAAATTTACTGGACTACCTCCGTAAATAAAGGCTACACTTGTTTCATGTAGAACTTTGGGCCATCGTGCAGTGTAAGGCTCCTGTTTTATTTCGATCAAATTAGAGTCAAGGATTTTTTTTATTGCTAAAAAATGACATTGACAACCTGAAGCAGACTTCTCTCAATGTAATGACACCTTTTTTTGGTGATTTTTGAACAGTTTCTTGGGGTAGAAATTACGATTTTCCAGCGCGGTTCATGGGCCGGTAGTGCCTTGAAGCGCAACTTGCGCAACTCGAAAAATAAAGATGACGATCACTGCGCGATGTGCCGTGAGCACACGTGGCGCGCTGAATCGCAACGCAAGGCACAAACTGCGCCGCGCAGGAAAATTGCGATTTTTACCCCAAGAAACTGTTCAAAATTGCAAAACTGGTGTCATTAGGATTGAAAAAAGTCTGCTTTTGATTGTAAAGGTGATTTTTGAGCAATAAAAAACATTTTTTACTCTAATTTCATCAAAACAAAACAGGGGCCCTACACTATACACGATTCACCCTATCCATACACGCTCGCCAGTAAATTGGCCACAATTTTTATGCGGCTGTTCGGCATGCCAATATTTTGTAACACCAACTTTCAACCTTTTTAAGACAAAATGAGCCACATCACTTACAGACTGTATTCTTCAATGTTCAAAATACAAAATATCTTGATAACAGTGTAATATTATAGTTGTTTTTCATTACAAATTGTGGTGAAATTAAAGAGAAAAATTTCCTCACGTTGTGCAAGTTCACGCTGCAAATGAAAGAGGGCGCTATAACCAGGTTAAGGAAGCCGGGTACCAGCGACAACGTACATGTAGGATTTTTGAAACTGCGGCGTCGTAGCCGGTCTGGCTTCAGAAACTTGACTGGCTGTAAACTTACGATAACTGTAAACTTTTTTGACTTTGAGAATCGAGAAAGAACCCGCCTTGTTCTAACTTTTGGTTTGATAACTCATGAAAAAATACCCAAAACTACAAATTTGATATGCCAGTTATAAAGACAATTATAATCAAAAAAAGTGCTAACCCGGCCTTGCTGTTTTCGAATTTCATCCTCAAAACAGATCTGTGTTTATAATATATAGACCTAATTGTTTTTTTTTTTTAGGAATATAGAGTTTATTCACTTTTTAAATGAAATACATAAGAAAAACGATTAAGATTACTTTTGGAATGATTGATCCAAATTTTGAATTATTTGTGGCGTGGTCGGACCATCCTCCATGGTCGGACAGTCACTTCGGGTGGATGCTGACCGGGAGACCGACTATGCTATGGCGTGTCAAACGTTGCAATATTCAATATTTTGCAATATATATGTTGGATGTTCAATATCTTTTACATTTATGTGCGATGTTCAATATAAGTGTGCGATGTTTTTCATTATTTGCGCGATGTTTAATATATTTGTGCGATGTTTTACAATATATGTGCGATGTTCAATATATGTGTGCGATGTTTTACATTTATATGCGATTTTCAATTTATATGTGCGATGTTTTTGACGATATATGTGCGATGTTTTCAATATTATGTTCGATTTTTTGCATTAAATGTGCGATGTTTTTCGATCCAATTGTGTGTGTTGTTTTACAATATATTTGCGATATTCTCAAATATGTGAGCAATGTTTTACACATAATTATGTTTGACATTTCGAGCTATTCGATGTTTCATCGGTATGTTTGCATTCGATCTTTTGCAATATGCATTTGATGTTTTCCTTTTCATTCGATGTTTCGTTAAGAGTCAAAGTCTGGTTTCTAGACCGCGAAAGTCTGACTATTTTGCCTAAAGTCAGTGTATGAGACGTCAGGGGATCGCGTAAAGTGATTAGAGCCAGACCTAAACGGTAAAAACCGGAATTGTGGGTAATTCTTTAAGCATACGCAATGCGTTCATCATTGTTTGGGCAGTACCCCCAGCTGTGCCTGTACTACCCATAGTGCTATGTGCATCATCTATGCATTGAGGAGTGCATGACACATGGTCTGAGCTCCAAGGCCGATGTGCACCTGTCCCGTTTAATGATCCAGTTACCTGATAATTTGTTAGCATAAACTGATGTAAAATTGGGCAAAATTAGATGTTTATGAAAAAAAATCAAATTGTAAGGGGTTAACCTAGCATTTTTTTTTAGCAAAATCGGGAAAAATCAGATGTTCTGGAAAATTGCAGATTGTATGGGGTTAGATGTTTATGACACATTTCAAATTGTAAGGGGTGAACATTGCATATTTTAGCGAAATTGGGCAAAATCAGATGTTTCCGAAAACTTTCAGATGTAAGGGATTAACCTTGCTGTTTTAGTAAAATTTTGCAAAGTTAGATGTTACGAAAAAATTCAAATTGAAAGGGGTTAACCTCGCATTTTTTTAAGCGAAAATGGGAAAAAATCAAATGTTTCTGGAAAACTGCAGATTGTAAGGGGTTAACCTTGCTTTTTGAATAAGATTGGGAAAAATAAGATGTTCATGAAGAAAATTCAAATTGTAAGGGGTTAACCTTGCATTTTTTTTAGCAAAATAGGACACAATCAGATGATTCTGGAAAATTGCAGATTGTTAGGGCTTAACCTTGTATTTCTAGCAAAATTGGGCAAAAAGAAATGTTTATGAAAAATTTTAAATTGTAAGAGGTGTACCTTGTATATTTAGTAAAATTTGGCAAAATCAGATTTTTATGAAAAATCTAAAATGGTAAGGGGTTAACCTAGCTTTTTTAGCAAAATTTGGAGCATATTTTACTAAAATTGGGCAAAATCAGATGCTTCTAAAAAATCCAGATGTAAAGTTTCCGCAAAAACAGCTGTTGAAAAAGAGCCCAATGTTGAACTTTACTGAGTCTGAGGTCTATCGAGGGGACGATCCTTATTTCAACTCCCAGAAATTCGCTGACAGTCTCTATTTTTCTTTTTAAGAAAGTCGAAATAGCTGAAGAGCAAGGTGAGAATCTATATGTGCCCAGATACAAAGAGTAGAAATCTACGCGTCTGCCTTTTGAAAATACACAATTGCGGTGTTCATTGTTGCGTAATGATCCGCCTAGCACACGACTGTTTTGCACATTAGGCTGTGTTATGCAGCTTCCTAACAAACCAAACACACTGTGCTCATTATATCGACTTGTTTTTACCCATTAAGGTAAAGCAAATGGACCCAGTAGGCCTAATCTTCCTGGCGCGTTTGCTCACCTATAAAGACAACTTTTCTCAGTTTAAGGAAAATTCTAAGGTAACGAAATGGCCTAGTGGTTACGATTCGTCGTCCACGGTTAGCGGGGTCCCGGGTTCGAATCCCGCTGGTGTCTTTTTGGTTTTTAACGTATGAGTTCAATTATTCACTATAAGAGATTTAATTTCCCGTCGTAAAGTACCAACAGTACCTTAGCTTAATCGGTAAGCACTGCTGCTGGTACTGTCCGCGAGTTCCAGGTTGGCGCCTTCGTACAGGTTCAGGGCATGTGGTCCACTCGGAGGATCAGGGCTTAGGGGCCGCCCTGTTCCTCCCTTAGCTCTTTGCTTTTACATGGTGCCTGGCCCTCCGGGGTTATATGGATGGATAGGGAAGGAAGTGTGTATTGGTCGGGGACGCCGAGACCCCGGAAGAGAACTAAGGGATCGGCTGGGGCATTGTTATGGCTCAGACCGATCCCTGAAAGCTTGACTAGCACATAACTTTTTGATTTTTTTTACCCTCTATCTTTTATACTTTGGTTTAGTTTGATATCTACAGCTGCTCGGCAGGTCTACGGGTAGTATCAAAATTGAAACAAAGGTGTATGTCATAAATCAATGAATATTTCATAATTGACTATAATCAAAACGGAGTTTTGTTTGATCAATTTGACTATCATTATATAATGACGCGATTGCCAATTGACGTAAGAAACGCCATAAATTACACCGGGAAAGAATAAAGATGTACATTGTAATATAAATATTATTTATACATCTTTCAAATAACGTGTCTTTAATTGTGAGCATTCCAAACAATACAGTAATTCGCAATAGTAATAGAATGGTATATATATGATAGCACGATCAATGCGTCTCTATTAAATTTAAAAAAAATATAATTTAGGCCCCTATGTGTGAAATATTCTTTGATTGACTATGAGCATTCCATACGAATGAGTTAATTCGCAAAATATAGCAACAACAAAAGAGAAAGGAAAAAGAGAAAATTCCTTTACCCTAAAAACTGGAAAAATAATTTGTTTTAAAAAAGTCAAATGGGACACTTCATGTATTGATTTAACAGTTTGCAAAGAGTTAGCCTTACATTTGAGCAAAATTGGGAAAAATCAGATGTTTCTGGAAAATTGCAGCTTGTAAGGGGTTAACCTTGCATTTTTAGTAAAATTTAGATGTTTATGAAACATTTCAAATAGTAAGGGGTGAACCTTGCATTTTTTAGCGAAATTGGGCAAAATCAGATCTTTCTGGAAAATTTAAGATTGTAAGGGGTTAACCTTGCTTTTGTAGTAAAATTTGGCAAAATAAGATGGGTATCAAAAATTTCAAATTGTAAGGTGGTGGGAAAATTTAAATGTTTATGAAAAATTTCAAATTGTCAGTGGTTAACCTTGCATTTTTTAGCAAAATAGGGCAAACTCAGGTGTTTATGGAAAATTTCAGATTGTAAGGGGTTAACTTTGCAGTTTTAGCAAAATTGGGCAAAATCAGATTTCTATGAAAAATCAAAAATTGTAAGGGGTTAACCTTGCCAAATTAGGGCAAAATCAGATGTTTCTGGAAAATTGCAGATTAAAAGGGGTTAACCTTGCCTTTTTAAGCGAAATTGGGAAAAATCAGATGTTTCTTGAAAAATGCAGATTGTAAGGGGTTAACTTGGCATTTTTAGCATAATCAATTTTATAGACTGAACGATAAAATATCTTACACGCAGCACGAATGGTTTTTATGTTTAATGATTTATTGGAGATCATGAATAATGCATTAATGAGCGGATTGGCTAGCCCAGCAGCAACGTGGTTAGACAGAGGCAAGGTGTGGGCTGTTGTCACGTGGAGAAGACCACTTCGTTGCAGTAACTGAATGTGGAAACATCGTTATCGCTATTCTCCTGTTCAGCTTCAAGTTGTATTCGTGTCTGAGTGTAACTGGGCAATATCAGATTGATATGAAAACTCTCAAATTGTAAAGAGTGAACCTTGTATTTTTAGCGAAATTGGGCAAAGTCAGATCTTTCTGGAAAATTTCAGATTGTAAGGGGTTAACCTAGCTTTTTTAATGATATTTGGCAAAATAAGATGTGAATATAAAATTCCAAATTGTAAGGGGTTAACCTTGCTTTTTTAGTAAAATTGGGCAAATTTAAATGTATATGAAAAATCTCAAATTGTAAGGGGTGAACCTTGCATTTTTTAACAAAATGGGGCAAAATCAGGTGTTTATGAAAAATGTCAGATTGTAAGGGGTTCACCTTGCTTTTTTAGCAAAATTGGGAAAAATCAGATTTGTATCTCGAAAAATCAAAAATTGTAAGAGGTAAACCTTTGCCCAATTAGGGCAAAATCAGATGTTTCTGGGAAATTGCAGATTGAAAAGGGGTTAACCTTGCATTTTTAGCAAAATTGGGAAAAATCAGATTTGTATGAAAAATCTCAAATTGTAAGGGGTTAACCTTTGCCAAATTAGGGCAAAATCAGATGTTTCTGGAAAATTGCAAATTGAAAGGGGTTAACCTTGCATTTGAAGCAAAATTGGGCAAAATTAGATTTTTATGAAAAATCTCAAATTGTAAGGGGTGAACCTTGCATATATTAGCAAAATTGGGCAAAATCAGATGTTTCTGAAAAAAATTCTGATGTAAGGAA